CAGGTAAGCCGGAGAATGTCCTGGATCAGCAACAGACACGGAGAAGCCAGTTCTGAGCAGTAAGCAGCCAGGGTAGATTGTAAACACTTGGGCCCCTAAATATGGTGACCTTGAGTTGGGATGATCTTGAAATTCCCAGAGATTCCAGTGTGCACAGCTCTTCTTCCCCATTGCCTCATCCCTGCACTATGATGATCTTTATACCAAAGAGGGCTCTGGAGAATTTATAGGCCCTCACACGCTACATCTGGATCAGGTGAACTGGTGAACACCTGCAATAAGAATGGTCAGAGAGAGACATGGCCAAGGCAGGTTTTCTGCCATTACCCGTACTCACCACCACAGGTTCAGTTCTCCTGAAAGAGAAAGCAGAAAGTAGCCTTCCAAAAACTATCCAAACGAGCCCAGCATGGTGGCACACACCTGCAATCCCAGCCCTGGGGAGGCTGAGGCAGGAGGATGATCATGAGTTGAGGCCAGTATGGGCTACATAGTGAGCTCAAGGCCAGCCTGGACTGTATAGGGAGACCCTGTCTTAAAAAAAAAAAAATTCCCATAATTATCCAAACCATCCTCTCATGTGATATCTGTGTGAACTACACTAATCTGCCCTAAAATTTGGGAAAAGCAAACTTTTACCTGTTTGCAGGAAAACAGTTAACAGTTTCAAATTTTTTCACTTTCCCCGTACCAGTCATTGTGAATTCTGCTCCTTGGTATGATGCATTGGCAGATGAAATGTGAACAGCAAATCATATTCATGGAGGTAATGGCAGCCGCTGTAATGAATGAGCTCCCAGCGTGGGTGGCTTCATGCAAGACATTTCTGACTCTGTCACAGTGCAGTGCAGTGGCTCCTGGCTGGCAGGGGCCACCTCTGGCATGGTCCCCACCCTGGCATCTACCTCAGCTCGGCAGGCAGACTGCCGACCAGCTGGGGAGATGGAGAAGGCACTGCGGTGCCAGTCACAGCTGAGAAGAGATGTACACCATATATCCTTCTGTGCGTGAAAACTTGTCACATCTGGATTCATGGGAATTATGACCTTTGATTAAGCAGTTGCTTCCCAGGACAACTGCTATACACTCTGGAAAACAAACCCAATCTCTGAATAGACATCTAGTTGTCCATGCCAACCAAAATGAACTGGAAAAAAACCCCTCAGAATCCATACCCAGGGCCAGGGATAAGCACCTGCCTGGCAAGCGCGAAGTCCTGAGTTAGATTCCCAGTACCAAAAAAAAAAAGGCAGAATCCATACCCTGCTGCTTCCTTCACCCTTGTGCTCAGATTTGATACTATTTCATATGAGTCAGATTTTCTGCTGACAAAACCTATGAGGGAACAAAATCATACCACGTGCAAGTGCTGGGTAGGGGGAAGACCGTTAAAATCACCCCAGGAAATCCACTGTGTTATCCTCTGCATGTAATCTCCAACTCTATTGGGTCCCGCATAGCCAATATTCCCTTCAGCGGAGCAGACTCTTTACTTCTTAGCTGGAAACCAGGTGCGGGGGAGTTGGCTTTAGTGCTTTTAGTGGCCATTTTCAGGGGTAGAACACACATGCTTGCTTCTGCTATGCGTTGCCCTATGGGGCTCTTCTGAAGCAGTGTCCTGGGCATTATTCTCCCTGTAGCCTGTTTTGTTTGGGGTATTTATTGTGATAGTCTTCCAGCAGATGGCAGTAGAGGGTCTTGGTCGAACAGGGTCTCTATACTGCCAATTTGCAAGAGAGGCACAAAATCTCATCTGTATAAGTGCTGCTGAGGATGATTCCCTTTCCCATGACAACGGGGACAAAGGTCCATAATCAGAAGTCACTGTTAGACCCCCACTGGACTGTTGCAGTACCTGCGGGGCAGTAATTTACTGGAGCCCTCGCTGAGCTTGTGTTGCCAGTGGAGAATCTAGTCTCAAAATTCAGACAAATCCCGCAAGGTTTAAAATGTTATGACAAGGACTGGCAAACGTGTGATCACGTCTACAGAAAAAGAGATGGAGACAGTGGGACATATCAGCATTAAAACTGCCAAGGATCAATTCCCGGTACCAAAAAAAAAAAAAAAAACAAAAAAACAGACTGCCAAAGAATTTTGTTTTCATAAGAGCAAAGTGTGCATCTATTTTGTGTCAGACTTATGCATCTTAATGATTTCAAGCTCCTGACTGTGACTAAAAATTCAAAATTTCTATTTTATATGGAGTAATTTACACTGCATCATTTTAAAGAAGGGCTTGACATGTAGCATCATTGTTCATAGGAGAATCTCAGTTTGACTGGATTAAGAGGTGTGTCTGTGGGGTGGTTCTAGGGATGCCTGGCACGTAGGCCATGCACCGAGGGGGCAAGCCCCACCGCAAGTGTGGGCAGTGCAATCCTATTGCTGCTGCCACCTGGACGGAATGAAGGGAAGCAGGAGGAAGTCAGCCTGCACTTGAAAAGCTGCATTCTGCGGGAGCACGAGCCTCTTTCACTATTGCCACTGCGTATGGACATCAGACTCCAGATTCTTCAGCATCTCAACACCAGCACACACCAGCGCACACCAGCGGCCCTCCAGGAGATTCCAAGTCTCCAGTCTTGGGCTGATGTTGCATCTTGGTCCCTCTTGGTGTGTGTCTTCCAGCTTCTTGGACTGAGCAGCAGCTGGGTCTTCTGGCTGTCCAGGGTGCAGGTGGCTGTTGTAGACACTCCTGCAGCTGATCCTTTAGCCTAATAAATTCCTTTGCATAAGTACACATGTGCATTTCCTACTGATTCTGATCCTCTAGAGAACCCTAACCAATACACTATATCAACCTAGAAAATAACGTTTGCGCTGGAGTAGAGGCGCTTGCTGTCAGCCTGGTGAGCTGCTAACCCCTCACTGCGGTGCTGGAAATGTGGGCAGAGTCGCTACATTCTTCCGATCACAGTGGACTCTGCGTTCCTCAGTTCTGCCTCTGGGGCTTCAGGCAGTCTCACAGAGGATGTATTCAGGGAAGAAATGCATGTGCACTGAACTATTTTTTCTTGTCATTATTCCCAATAACAATTATTTACATAGCACTTTACAATGCTTTAGTTATTATAAATAATTAAGGGATGATTTCAAGTCGGGGAGGGTGTGCCAATACGATGCCATTTTATACAATGGATGTAAGCATCTCCAAATGTTGGTTTCCAAGAGGGGAAGGAAGCACGTCTCTATTTCCCTTCCACCTCTCCTACTCATGCCCAGACTCAGACAGTTGGACTTGCAGAAGTTAAATTAACAAATGGTTACATGTTTCATGTTTTCTATGCTTTGTTGACCAAGGGCCACTGTGTTCAGGGCTCTGGGGTCAATGAGGTTAGGGTGACCTCACTGTTACCCTATCATAGATGCTATTGTACCTCTGTTCCTGTCACAGAGCCAGAGGTGTTGGGGCCTCCAGGTCCCAGGATTCCTCTAATCCGCCTGTCCTGCCAAGAGAGAAAAGGACTGTGGCTCAAGTGTTTGTAGGCGGCCATTGGTCCTATGACTAATGTCGCTCTGACACTAAAATGGACCCAGTTTTTCCCAGGAACATGAAAAGCACACTTGTGATGCAAAAAAATAGAACCTGTAAGTGGCCTCTTCTGAGTGTTCACTGCCACAAGTTTTGCAGCTGTTGCTGGGCCAAGGACACTGAGTGTCTGACCTCCTCACACTAAATGCCGTTAGTGGCTGGGGTCACCTTCACAGCACAGTACCCTCTCCAGCCACCTCCAGAACCTCCTGGCAGCTGGGTGAGATGCGCAGAGAGATGTACTTATTCCAATTTCGGAAATTTACTTGGCTTTTCAAAATATTCTTTTGGAGAATTAAAAAATTTCAGCCCCTCCAAATTCAAAGACCCAATCCAAAAATGGGCAGCGGAGATGAATACACACTTCTCAGACAAGGAGATACAAATGGCAAATAAATATATGAGAAAATGTTCAACATCATTAGTCATTCGAGAAATGCAAATTAAAACAACACTAAGATTCCACCTTACCCCAGTAAGAATGGCTAGCATTAAGAAATCAACCAATAACAAATGCTGGTGAGGTTGTAGAGAAATAGGAACCTTTCTCCACTGCTGGTAGGAATGCAGACTGGTGAAACCACTGTGGAAATCAGTTTGGAGATTCCTCAGAAAACTAGGTCTAGAGGTCCCATTCAACCCAGCTATCCCCCTGCTTGGTATTTTCCCAGAAGATCTAAAAACATCATATCACAGTGATGTATGTGCACCCATGTTCATAGCAGCACAATTTGTAATAGCTAAATCCTGGAAACAACCAAATGTCCATCCACTGAGGATTGGATAAGAAAATTGTGGTACTTTTATATAATGGAATATTACTCAGCTGTAAAGAAAGATAAACTCGAGGCTTTTATAGGCAAATGGTCACAACTAGAGACCATACTCATAAGCGAAATAAATCAAACATACATGTGCAAGCACCGCATTGTTTCTCTACTGTAAAGCCTGAAAGAGTTAATTTAATCTAGGAGATATGATAGACATTGAGAATTGATAGGAAAGCACTCATAGGTAAAGGATAACTGGGATATGGGAAAAGAGAAGGGAAAGAAGGAGAAAGTTTGTATATATGTATATGCAGGATAGTTAACACGGGTGTTCTACTGTCCTGTATTTCCTTGCTGAAAGAAACTGTCAGTGAGGCATTGGTTGATTAGCTTTGTATGTCTATATGTGTTTTCATGAGAAACTACATTGAAGATATCAATATGTAATACAATAAGCATTGTTAATTCCCTACCACTCTGTTTGTAACTCTGTAATGTCTGTACTGATCCTATGCTATTTTGTAAAATGTTGTCGGTCTGTTAGTATTTTCCTCCTTTTATTTCTAAAATAAAAAAAATAAAAAATAAAAATAAAATATTCTTTTGGGAGGAGGAGTCCATTCACCTCTCTATTTCAAGTTAGACTCCTACTGTGCAGTAATAGAGTTCCATCCTTGTCACTTAGATCAGAACTCAGAACTCAGAACTTACATCAAATGTTGATAAGGTTAACATCATTTTCAACTGAAAATCTCGCTGTTTAGGAAATATGCAGATAAGGTAAGCCTTGCTTATTTTGAATGAAAGGCAAGTCCGCAGGCTTGGGGGCAGGTGAAAGGAACGAAGGAGGAGCTGCAGATGGAGCCCACATCTCTTGCTACCCCACTGTAGCAAGAAAGCCCTCACCAGGTGACCAGATGTGGGCCCCTTGGGCTTCTAGCCTCTACTCCAGAACTATAAGAAATAAACTAGGACCTCTGCACTGAGCTACATCTCCAAACCTTTTCATTTTTTCTTTGAGACAGCCTCTTACTAAGTCACTAAGTTGCCGAGGATAGATTTAAACTTGTGATCCTCCTGCCTCAGCTTTGAAGAGGCTGGGGTACCACACCCAGCTTTGTTTGCTTTTTTGAAGGGAGTCTCACTAGGTTGCCAGGCTAGTCTTAAATTCCTGGTCTCAAGCATCCCTCCTACCTTAGCCTCCCAAGTAGCTGGGACTACAGTCATGTACCACAATGCCCAGGAAAAACTCTGTTCTTTATAAATTATCCAGTCTCAGGTATTCTGTTACAGTACCACAAAACATACTGAGTCAATGATCTTGAAAAGTTCTTTTGTGCTCAATGTCATTCTACTTGTCTTTCATTCTAAAAGATGTAGGTATGATAGGCAAAATGTGGAAAGATAGACACACATTAAATCCTTAATGCCATTATCTTGGGGTAAATCTATGAATGGTCCTTATTTTGCTCCTTTTTGGCTTATCTATAACTTCCAGGATTTCAAAGAAAAACGCATGCATTACTTTTGTCATTAAATTATTTATGAAAAAATATACAAGAAATATGAGAAAGAATGCTGGACTAGGCCCTTAGAACCTTTAGTGAATAGGTCTAGTTCTTCCATCTGTCCTAGTCAGAGTCCCAGTGTTTGTTATCCTTCATTCTCCCGGTTCTCTGTTTTACTGCTTTGTTTCAGACTGCATTTGCTAAATTTCACCATGAAAAGAAAGGAGTAAATATGTAGCAAAACATTAAAATGAAATACAAGTGGCAAATAAGTATATGAAAAAGTGTTCAACATCATTGGTCATTCAAGAAATGCAAATTAAAACAATATCAAGATTCCATCTCACCCCAGAAAGAATGGCCATTAAGAAATGAACCAATAACAAATGCTGGAGAGGCTGTGGGGAAAAAGGAACTCTTCTCCACTGTTGGTGGGACTGTAAGCTGGTACAACCACTGTAGAAATCAGTGTGGAGATCCCTCAAAAAACTAGGATTCACTCAACCTACCTATTCCCCTTCTGGATATTTTTCCAGAAGAATTGAAAACAACATACCACAGCAATATATGTGCACCTAAGTTTACAGCAGCACAATTTGTCATAGCTAAATCTTGGAAATAACCCAAATGCCCATCAACTGAAGAATGGATAAAAAAAGAGGTAGTATTTTTATACAATGGAGTATTACTCAGCTATAAAGAAAGATAAACTCGAGGCTTTTATAGGTAAATGGATGCAACTGGAGACCATACTCTTAAGTGAAATAAATCATAACCACATGTGTAAACATTGAATTGTCTCCCTAGTGTAAGAAACTGAAAGAGTAAATAAAATCCAAAAAGTACAATAGATATTATGACAGGGAAAGAAACTGCTCGAAAGGAAAGAACAATTGGGATGGGGAAAAGGAGAAAAGAAGGAAGGGACAAAACAATGTGTATACACACACACTCACACACACACACACACACACACACACACATGAGCTAAGATAATTGTACTACCAATTTCTATTGGTTTATTGAAAAGAACAGTTAATGTCTAATTGTTTGATCAATTTTTCATGCCTATGTCTGGTAATCTAAACAACTACTTTGAATATAACACTAGGCAATATAATAACTATTGTTAATTTCCTATCATCTTGTTTTGAAATTGTGTATGTTTTTATTGTTTTTTTATTCTTTTTAAAATAAAAATAAAATAATAAAATAGTGGACTATCAAGAGGCAGTGTGACTGTGCTACACACAATGCTTTAGTTCTTTGGAAAAGCTATAACAAAATGCCATCGGTGGTGTGGTTTGTTAACAGAAATATATTTCTCCTGGTTCTAGAAGCTGGATGAACCTGATTCATCACCTTCAAATGCGCAGCGACCTCGAAGACTGTGGGCTCCCTAAGCTGGGCTGTGATGGCTTTAGATACTGAAGCTAAGCTTTTCTTTTTAACAAAGAGTCTATCTCAGAAGAGCAGGATAGAGAAACAGCAAAGCTCTTTCTGACAGTTTCTTTGGAATAATCCAAGTTCTATTTCAGTGAGACAACGATTGTGAGATGAGAATCCCAGAATGGTCTTTGGAAATCCTTTGAAACTGCATATATACTTTCAACTATTACAATTAAATTTTGATTTATATGTTCATAGAAATCTCCTATTCCCAGTGGAATCTGATCAGGCACTTACAAATGACACATGGTAGTCGTTCGGGTGATGGTCTCCCAGGGTTTCTGGTGTGGTCATTGAAGCGAGTGGATGCTCCTCACCAGCTCTCCATGGCGGAGGCAGCGGTGAAAAACCCTAGGCCCACATGACTGGTTCTGCTTTAGCAGAGTGATTCAATTCTTCCATCTATTTCCGGTGGTTATGCAAAACCTAAACTATTAACAGAAATTGGTATTCACAGATTTGGTGGCAATCCTGATGCTTTTGAAGTTTAAACCTGGCCCTCGTCTTTACTAACTGCTGGTGAGAAGAGAAATCTTGTGTGTGGGATGTGATTGTAGTACACAAAATCAGGCTAATCACCAAGGGGTGGGTACTTCTGCCAGGGGTGGGGATGGTTTTCTGGGATAAGGGTTGAGCTGAGCTATACAGGTGTCTCCCCCCAGAACCTCCCCCTGTGTAGAAGGCATGATTCAACAGCAGATCTTCCCAGATGGAATGGGAAGCTTTCAAAATGGCAGCAAGGCTGTTTCCAGTGATTAAGTCAAGGTGGCAAAATAAGCATGGTGCTGATGTTGTAGGATTTATTATCCAGTCACTGATCAATACATTCCTTGCTGTTTTTCCCTCTCTGTGGCGGTATGGCTTTTGACAGTGGTGACAATGGTCACGTCATCTTCTCTCTTGCCTCATCTCTCTGTGGCTAGGTGTTGAGCACACATTCGTCTCACCCACCCTCTACCTCTCCGCCAGCCTTGCAGTTAAGCTGATCAAACGACCTGACCAGCCCTGGCCAGAGGAGGTGAGCGGAAGTGATGTGAGTGTCTCAGTGTACTTGTTCCGTGCTCCTCATTTCCAATGACCTTGCAGACCTGGCGTCAAAGAGTTTGGATCTCTAAGCCCTTGCTGCAGCCCCTAAGACTGTGATTTGAGTGAGAAATAAATCTGCACTGTGTAAAGTCGGCGCCATTTGGTGTGTGTTTATACCGTATTATAATATCTGCCTCTGCTTTACTTCAGGTAAATATAACAAGTCTCTTTTTAAAATGGGTCACCAAAAACTCTTGGAGGCGATGGATCTTGATTGTGGCAATGGTATCACAGGCAGAAGTATGCGTATGTACAAACTCACCAGTTGTAGACATTAAATATATGTGGTTGTTGTATCAATAACACCTGAAGAAAGCTCTTTGAAAATTCTGCCTTTTAAGATGGAGAAGCACTTCCCTTGCCAGACCAGCAAGGAGGAGCTATGCATAGACGTGTGATTTCCAAATCTGCCTCCTGAGCTTCAGTGGTCCTAAGGGTGCTGTCCTTGTCCCCAGGCTCCGATGATGATTCTGTCCATCACTATACATGACACCTTGGGTCAGTTTTGCTACCTGTGGGATGGCCAAGGTGAGTTAAGGTAAGAGAGACACACGGGAATGGAGGACCTTATACCCATTTTTAGATGAGAAACAATCTTAGAGGATGAAGTCCTTGTCTAAACTATGAAGTTTCGAAGTTCACTAGTGCTTCCAGAAGCCATGTATTTAACCACCAAGCTAAATTTTGCCAAATGGAGTTGGATTGACTTCATATGTCCAAGCAGAATGTATCCAACTGCTTTTCTTGCAAATTTACTATGATTCCGTAGAAAACATTTTTTTTTTAAAAATTGTGGGCTGCAATCCATTCTTGAGTCATGAAATCAATCAAATGACAAGCTTTAAGGGAACACAATAGAAAATAACAGGCTGCAGTTGGCACCATTCTTCAAAGTATTGTTCCAAGGAAATTGTGTGTGTTAAACATATTCACATGGGTTTGAATGAGGTGTAAACTGTGTCTCTTGCTACAGTTAGCAGCCAACAGGGTATAAAAGCACCTCACAAAGAATTAGGCTGGATTTTTGAAGTTAATTGAAATTTTAAAAATATTTGTGGGTAACCTATGATTCCCAGTGGGTTGGCCCTTAAATCACCCCACTATTCCTTGACCACAGAAGCATTATACGAACAAGGGTGCTTTATTTATCCTATTAGAAAGCTACCACTGCCCATGTGCCCCCAGTAACCAGATCTGCCCCAGGGGACCAGCAATAAGGCCATAGGATTTCTCTAGCACACCTAAGCCATCGCTAAGGAACCGGCAATATCAAAAACAGGAGTTGTCCTTTCAAAGTAGTCCATCCCGGCCAGCCATGGTGGCATATGCCTGTAATCCCAGCACTCAGGAGGCTGAGGCAGGAAGATCATCAAGAGTTCAAGGCCAGGTACAGATTGAGTTCAAGGCCAGCCTGACCTACACAAAGAGACCCTGTGTAAAACAAGCAAACAAACAAACAAACAAAAAACAGAATAAAAAATCAGAAAGTAGGTAACCCACTCCAAAGACTTTCCATATGCAGATCCTCAGATTGCTAAGAAATGCTTCCATCTTTCCAAGGGCCAATAAGGCTTCCCCTCTTCCTTTCACACTGGGGGTCCCACTCTACCATCTCATCTCATCCCTGCCCGTCTCAACCTGCTTTGAACCAGGTGGTCTATTTTAGCTGCAAAAGAAAGTGTCATTGTGATATTCCTTAAGAGGAAAGCAAAGCAGAGTGAATAAGAGATGAAATAAATTCACAGTGAGCAAGCAGTTGGGTCTATGTGTGACAGCGACAGCACTGCTCCTTAGTGTGCCCGGGAGTCACCTTGGGGTCTTATTAGGCTCAGACAGGGACTCAGTAGATCTGAGATGGAGCCTGATGTTCTGTTGCTCATGAAAAACCAGCTGCTGATTTCACTGGGGATCGCTCCTATGTGTTAAGCTGCTTCTGCCCTACTCCTTTTAAGACTCCATCTTTGGCCTTTGGTAGTTGGATTAGGATGTGTCTGGGTGTGGATTTCCCTGAGTTCATTCTAGTTGGAGATGACTGATATTCTTGGATTTGTAGATAAGTTTTTTTTTTTTTAATCAAATTTGGGGAGTTTTTCACGATTATTTTTACTAGAGATAGTACAATTGTGGCCATGGGGCCATTCCCCTCCGTTCACCTAAACCTGAGCAACAGCCCAGCGCCAACCCCTCAACTTTGTCCTAAGACCTACTACCCCGAGGCAGAAAAACAAAGAGCCCCAGAATATTCCCAAATCCCACACCATGACACATGCCCTGATTCTCCTATAGGACCTATAGGAGCCTTTCTTCATTTGGAGTTTATTAAAGGTTCGTGCATATGCACGGCATCTCACACATCCAAGTGTAACAGAATGAATCATGTGACTGGACACCCGCAGTGTTAGACACAGCTGACACAGCTCAGCACCCTGTTGATCACAGTGTCAATCACATTCTGGAAGACCCAGCGAGAGGCACCCTCCACCTGGCGTAACATGTTCTGGTTTTTGTTTTTTGTTTTTGGTGCCGGAATTGAACTCAGGACCTCGCACTTGCCAGGCAGGCACTGCACCGCTGAGCTATATCCCCGGCCCCCTGATGTAACATTTTAAATTCTTAAACTCAACAATTCAATGCTCATGCCACCTTCCTTTCCACTGGCTGAAGCCTGTCATGCTGTCACCTGATTAAAACTACGCTGCTTTTTCCCTACCGTCACAGGCCACACCCAATTCCTTGTTCATTGTGCACAAGAACCTAGAAACCTGTCCAGGCCCCCACCCACGGTAGTATTTCCTTACATTTTTTTCTCTCTCCTTCCAGAACCCCTATTACATGTAGTTGGTCTGCTTGTCAGTAATCCTGCACATCTTTCAGGCTCTGTTGACTTTTCTTCTTTGTATTTTCTATATGGTCCTCAGGCTATAAACTATCGATTGAGTCATGTACTGGCTCAATTCTGCAGTTGTGCCCCTGCAAGGGATTTTTCATTTTAAGTATTATACCTTTCAATTATAGCGTTTGTAAAAAATAATAATAATAATAACTCCTATATTTTTACCTATATTCTTCTTTTGGTGAGATAGTGTTCTCATGCTTACATTTATTTATTTATTTATTTTGAGAGAGGGTCTCACTATGTAGTTCAGGCTGGCCTGGAACTTATAGCCCAGGGTAGCCTTGAACTTGAAGCAGTCCTCCTGCCTCAGCCTCCTGAGTGCTGGAATTACAGCATGTACTATTACCCCTGGCTCCTTTGAAGTTTCTTAGTCAGCCTATTGATAGTTCCAATAAGCGTCATTACTTCAGGCAGCCACAGTGATAAACAATCACTGCTGTTTGTTTTATTTATTTATTTATTTATTTTTGTCTTTTTGAGGCAGGGTCTCGCTATGCTGTTCAAGCTGACCTTGAGTTCACTTTGTAGCCTAGGCTGGTCTCGAACTCACAATGACCCTCCTGCCTCAGCCTCCTGAGTGCTGGAATTATAGGCGTGCACCACCACTCCCGGCTTACTGCTGTTTGTTTTAAACAAATGCCTGGTGGACAGGGCCATTTGTGCAAAGAATACTCTTAGTTCTTCCAGTGAAAGATCCTGAGAATGGAGCTTTTCCAGGCAGCTACCACACAAGCCAAATAGCGACAAGCTTCTCGGATAGAGCTTTTTGAAATGCTCCAAATCCCCTTTATGCCTTGGAGGTAGGTCGGGGCTGGGCAAACCAGATTAACTGGGTGGAATGTGTCAGAGGTCATAAAATCCCATGGCTCACAGGCTGAGACGTTTCCTGAAAAGAAAGGACAGAACATGGGACTCACAACGACGTCAGGCTAAGCACTGCAGACCAACCAGAAAAATGCTGTCTTCAATCCTTCACTGACATCTGGGGGGAAGCCAAATGAGTCTTCTAAGAGGACAGTTTAAATCCATGTGACTGTAAGAACCTGGAAAGAAGTCCAGGAGACTCCACCCAGAATACCTCCAGCTGTCAGGCAGGACGTTAATCATTAGCAGGCTGGAGAGGAGGAGCTGGAGGCTACTTGGGAAGCAGAGAAGGGAAGATTTTTTTCTCCTTTTACTTTTTAAATCACCAGCAACTGATAAATCAACACATCT